TAATATGCACATGTGTTCATGCAGAAATTCAAACAGGGTTGAATTTTCCAAAATTGAAACTTCCACTTTTTATCCCACAGATGCCTTAAAATATTTGTGTCTATTTTAGTGTTTTTGTATGCATATTCCTAAATAGCRTAATTTAAATGCTGTGCTGAATGATTTCACTAGAATTTAGACTACACTTCAGTTACAAACCACAGTTTTAATTACAGCACAGATGCATATAGATGAGGAAAAAATAAGATAATTTCAATTATCTTTAACCATTATGTAATTTTCCTTCTTCCCTATGTTATGATAATGTAAACAACAAACAAAGGAGTTTAGTTTGCTGAAATGGTTWTTTAAAATTTAGAAATAAATGTTAAACCTTAATCTGTTTCCTTAAGATCTTTTATTACAGGCATTAACATAACTGCTGTTTTCTGAAATTTATTTCATTTTAATGTGGTAACTGAAAATACACAGTTTCTATGATTAGCAAGGATGTGACTTACTCTTCTGTGTGCTTCTGTTTTATTGTAGTGTGTTCGGATTGTCATGCATCTGCTTTCCTAGATTAGTGTCTTTCCTGATGTTACAGATGTGTTTTCTTTCCTCTCCATGCAGTAAAGAATGGAATTTTTCTATTTTCGACAGCACATTATTCAATTCTCTTSGCATACACTGCTCTGATTTTTATTGGCTTACTTACTTGAAAAGTGTTTCAGTGTTCTGAGAAATTTTGGGTTTATTTATGTTGTGGGATCTTGCTTTCAAAAACTGTGATATGATCTTTCRCTATTTTCATATTGACATGATACTGATCTTAATGTGATTTTGGTGGGTGTCAATTTGAATTAAGATATATATTTCTGGCAGAAATTATAAGAAGAATCCAAGAAATTTAAAAACAGTGGAGGTGAAAATATTGCATTAAGCATCTTCTTATGTCAGCTATCACTKTGTGGTCAGTCTATGAGAACCTTATGGTACAAAATGGAGTGCAAAGAGGACAGCTTAGACARATATAAAATTACTGGATCAAATTGATTTAAATCAACAGGCAGAAAGCTTTAATCAATTTGAATTTTGCTTTTCAGTGAGTTTTTTTTAAAGCAGGTTGAGGGGCTGAAAATTCACTGAATTTTTAGTATCTCCCAGGTATGGAGATTCTACAGCTGATTGGGGCAACCTCTTCTGGGGCTTAACCAGCCTCACRATTTAAAAAATACCCAACAAAACACAGCACAAAACAGAAAAAAACCAACCTAATTCCATTTTTTTCCAGTCTGATTTTCCTGTGTTTCTACTTTTCCTTATCCTACTGCGATGCATCTTCAAGAAGAGTCTGGCTTATTCTTCTCTACCCTCACATTAGGTAGCTGTGGATTGTAATAAAGTCTCCCTTTTTTTTCTTTTATGACTGAACAAACTCAATTTTCTTAGCTTCTCCTTGTAATATCACTTGCTCCAGCCCTGTGATCATCTTGGTGGCTCTTTCCACTGGATTTGTTCTCCCATTCTCAACTAGCAGTACACACTTGTGTGTTCAGGAAGTGGCACCGACCAAGGGGCTGTGCCTGTCAGGTCATCTAGCAGCCCTTAGGCAGGATGAGCACCCTTGTCTGGTATGGAGGCACTCCAGGACAGCTGCTCTGACCAGCTTCTTCTGGATAGTCCAGAAGGGGGGTCTAATATTTGACATGAAAACTACTCTTTGGAGGATACTTGGTTCTACATGGTGATATGGTTTGATTTAGTAGAGACATGCTGCCATATGCTGAAATCACAACACAAACATGATACAGCAGCTGAAATATACATTTGGGTCACCATTCCCATTGGTGATCTTCATATGCCACTGTCAGGATGGTGGGCATCTCTAGTTCACCAGGAAGGAATATGTGAGCTAGAGCCATCTCAAGCCTGTTGCTCTCGTGAGAACCCCTGGTGCTTTTTCAGTTTTACACATTCTGTGTGACTGAGCCGTCAGGTCACACAGGTCACACAGGTACTTCTCCCCCTGCTGGCCTGGCTACCTGGGGAAGACCTTTTAGGCTATTAATTATTTTAGAAAAGGCTGTTTGCATAACCTGATAGCTTACTGTACAGCCACCTATCTAAAGCAAAAGTTACCCTGCAGTCCCCCTTATGTGGGGATAAGTTTGACTTCCTTTCTGCCACTTGACGCTCATTGTTCCATTTCTTCCCTGAGTTCATAACTCTTGCCCATCTCCTCTCAGCCTTCTTCCCTTGTGGAGGTTTTTTCATCAGTCAGGCAGGCTGGATCTCCTTGGGACTGTTGTAAATGTGCTGATGGGCCACAGGTACCTGGAGYAGCCTGTACCAGCTGCTCCTCACTTCAAAGCTCAGCACACATGTTTTGGTCACATGAGTTGAATGTGTCCAGCTGCACAAAGATGAACACAGTCATATAATGCTGTCAGGAAAAAAAAAGAAGGAGAAAAGCTGCAGGAATAATTAATTGTTATTAATTGACCTGAAGGGCCACAAGAGAGAGCAGGAGCCTCAGATACAGGCTGATGATCTCATTGAGTTATCGTGAAAGGCTTGAATCTACTCCAGTGAAAATGTGGACCCAAGTTTCAGGCCTTAAGTGGGTSCCTTCTGATTGTGCAGGTGACCTTGCTTGTTATTTTAAAACAAGCACTTGCACCTGGTCACAGTCCTTTTTGTCTTGGTGGGGCTGGAAAGATGTATTTGGCATGGTGGGTACACAGAGGTTTGGGAATAGAGATGTCACTGCGGAAGGAAAACCAAAAAGAAATAACCAGGGAAGAGTCTTCATAGGCTCGTGAGGGTTAAATCATTTGCTCTAGAAAATCCAGCAGTCATTCCGAGATTCATCACCACAATTTTGACACAAAGAAGGAGAATACTTAATTTCTTAATTGCCATCAGTAATAATAATCTGTTCAGTTTTCTTTGATTATATTAAAAAATAGCCATGATGAGAATACATTTTCATAGAACAAGCAATCAGAGATTTTTTTTCACCTCTGCATTTCTTGCGGTACAAAGCAGTATGCGCATTACAGTATTTTTGATCTTTAAAGGAAAGTTATGATACCCTCTACTGGCTATTTTTGGAAATAAATCTGAGCTATAACTGACCAGTTTAGAGACAGCAGCAGTTAAACTTAATCTGTACTGCAGTTTTAATGTAGTCTTTTTTTTTCTTCTTCTTCTTCTTATGGATTTGTGAGGAGTTTGGGTTGTTTTGGTATTTCTTCCCTCTTTAGTCCTGTCCCTGGTTTCAGCAGAGTGACTCTGACTGTGATGGAACTGTATTTTTGAAAGCAGTTTGTTATGGCTTTCAGACCAACAGTTCTATAGGTACAAAKGAAAATAGCTAGATGTTATCACAGCTCTTGTTGCCTAGTAACCAAAGCCCAATGTATAATTCAACAAGATAAATTTGATGCACTTTGCCTCTCTTTTCCCTTTTTGTAGCAGAATGCAAAATACATTTAGATGTGAATATTTTGTTTTCTGGTAACTAAAATGTATTGAAATCTCTCATTTTGTAAACTCAGTTACAATGATCTGAGAACTGATGAAGATTTCCCATAAAGAAGAATGGTCTGGTTCTTGTAACATTCCTGTACTGTTCATATAAGTATGCCAGCATGACTGTGCATACAAAAATTATTTTTTCCATGCCATCCTCAAATTTCACCTTTCCGCTTTGTATTCTGATTTGATGATGATTTTACATATTTTTCTACTAAATCCATTTATGCAGTCAGGGATTGTTCTCAGAATTATTTGCTCAACTATGCTGATAACATGCCTAATATTATCTAGGACTCTCCTTGAATTAGTTACTGAATTTGTGAGCAGGTGTGAAATGTTTGCTTCATTGGCACAAGTTGTGTAAATAAACACTTGTACATTTCTAGCATTGATTTTTGCTTTGTAAGCTAATGATTATATCTTATCATAGAATTAACTATCAAATGAATTTATTTACTCACTGTTGTAACTAATCATACTTCAGTTCTGGTAATATAAATTGTATTAGTAACATTGTCTTAACATTTACATAAACATATGCTAAAATAGTATAAGTTCACTGTACTGTTGCAACCTTGTACTTAACAACCTTTAACTTACTAAATTTSTTTTGAATTGTGTGGCACCTACTTTTATGCTTATTACATGCAGATCTTCTTCACTTACTTTATTGACTTATTTAATATTTTCAAGAATTATCTAAGATTTAAACTAATTTTTAACTATTTTGCCTAGCAATACTGTGTATCTCAGTGCAATCACATTTGTGTCTTTTCTTCATTTCTTTTTCATTAACACTTGATATTCAAATCAAACTCTTGTTAGATGTATGATCTTTCATTTTTCCTGTCTATACTGATTGCGGGACATGCCTGAATTATCATTCTTCTACGAAGGTCACAGATTTCTGTGGAGGCTGAATTCTGTACTTACTGGAATCACTTGCATAAAGATGCTTATTTTTGATGCTAAGAAAAAGATGGTACAGTGTCCAATGCTTCCATACAAATGACATTTACATATCTATCATAGTCTAGGAAACCTTCTTTTAAAGGAATACCTAACATTAAAGGCTTGGAAATTAGATGTAATTATGGAGTGCTGGGAACAGTAGGAAGGGAATTTGTGGATGAATATTGGGAAGAGTTTAGATAAAGTGTGAGAGTTATAGTTTGTGGAATGATTTCCCCAGTGAACAAGATAATAGAGATATTGATTGTTACTTGAAGTATCTTTGTGGAATGATTTCCCCAGTGAACAAGATCATAGAGATGTTGATTGTTACTTGAAGTATCTTTCGGTAGGTAAAGTCATGCTCATGTTGGGTTTTAACTTCTTCAGTTGCCTAATGCTAAAATYTTCCTGTCTGTTTTAGTCTTGTTTTTTTATTGGTTTATTTTGTTTTCTTAATATTGACAATACTCTTGTATAAGCTCAGAACTGAACTGGGACATTAACCAACTGTTTCTTCTTAACAGGTACTGCTCCCAGCAGCTGGTCTCTTGCAACTGCAGGATGTGAAAAGGACTTGCTGTGAGTTCTTGGAATCCCAACTTCATCCTATCAACTGCCTGGGGATTCGTGCTTTTGCTGACATGCATGCATGCACAGATCTCCTGAGCAAGGCCAACACATATGCAGGCAAGTTATCATTAGCAGAGCACTCAGCTGGATATCTGTCAGTGTGGGTGGGTTCCCTGCCACCCAACCCCATCCAGAAGAGAGCAAATTTTATCCAGGATATTGCAGACATGTATCTCCTGATGAAACAGGAGATTTGATATGAATGTCTTCAAGAGAAACAAAATGTGCTGGCTGGACCATAGTTGTATTTAAGCTGAGTGGAGTAGCATCTTCACAGACTGTTGTGACTCTGCAGGGTCCAAGCCATTTGTAATCCAGAAACAAGTTCCCTGTTTAAATTTCTTCACTGTCACTTAGGGGAGGAAATCAGGAAAGAAGAATTAAAAATCTGACAACTACCACAAGTCAAAGGATGTAGGAATTACATGGGGGAAGAAATAAGAAAAAGGCATTGGGAGGAGGTGTAGCCCCTGAACTGCACAGGCAAAGAAGAAAGAAATGTAATGTTGGGTATTATGTTATCAACTTACCTTCTGAAAATCCTGCTCATCTACCCCAAGACTTGAAATTTCCTACTATAAAGGAAATAGTCTTATTCTACTACCTTGACATAGTGTAGACAGAAGTGCACCTTCTAAATAACAATACAGTTCAACCAATAAAATTCTATTTTCTATGTAGAGAACTTGCCATTGGATCTTTATATGTTTTTTCAGAAAAAAATGTTTATGGACTTTTTTATTACTCAAAGTACGTTATTATGGTGTGCATGTATGCCTAACACATTGAAGACTGTGTTATTCATATTTGTAAGCGGATTGGTCCATGTCAAGTCTTAATATTTTGAAAATTAGGTTCTCATTTTGCTTGCTGTTAATAAGAAAAAAAATGGGTTCTGTGGTGAAGTAACTGTAGTGATGTAATTGGGAATAGCAGGAAAAAAAATTCTCTTTTTCTTGGTGCCTGTGAGGCCTCAGAGACGAGTGCTGAACCACACTTTAAGATAGATGCAAACAGGCTGAAGTGAATCCAAGGAAGTCTAACATGAACATTAGTAAACAGACAGATCTGTGACAATGACAGTGAGGATGAGAGTCCTCTCAGTCAGTAAACTAAAATGTTGGGAGGATGAGAAGGAATTGAAATCTTCTTGTGCATAAAAATGACTGAGAGTGAGTAAGCTTAACTTGCGAGATATTTTTAAAGTAATTTCAGATATTAAGGGAAAAATGTAACTCTAAAAGTAACAGAGATCAGACAAGCTGATTGTCAAATGGCTTACTATGGTCTTTCCATTGTTAGGCAGCTGTAAGAAAACAGGGGAATCTAACTTCTRATTCAAGTTGATTCAAATCATGTACATGTGCAAAACTAGTTGAGTTGAAGTCCTTTTAAGCTTATGCTTTTATGAATCTGCAAATAATTTTTTTTCTTTAATATTCCAAATACATTTTTTGCTGTTGGAAGCTGATATACATGTAGTTTCAGAAAGTATATTACTGAATTGGTAATTTTTCTGGATTATGTATTATAAATACTGGATGAAAACCTTGTTTGACTGCTTTTGATGCCAAAAAAGGTTGCAAAATGTAACTGACAAAAACCAAAACAAAATATTGTAAAAGCTTGTACATTTGTAGCATGGCATTATATCCAAAACTAAGGCTTTTAATTTRTTTAAGGAGCAATGATCTTCTTTTGTGTGTAGAGTGTCTTGGTGTTTTGATGCTGGAGTTGAGCCTGAACATACAATACTAAGGAATTTCTTCTTAGCAAAATTGGCAAAATTTTTGTGTAAGTTTTTTGTGTGAAAAAACCTCCTGTTTTATAAGGTTTAACTTATTAACCAGTGAAACAGTATACTTTGATTAGAGCTTTGGTTGTAAGTGTTCAGAGTGTAAGACAAATTAGCTTGTAAATTGAGAAGTCATGGGTTGTCAGAGGTTGAGGGTGACTTTCAGATATGCTTCCTTATGTGCAACTTGCACTGTCTGCCCAGTCACAGATCATTTCTTGTCTTTTCAGTTGTCTATTGTATGTCTCATTTCTACTCAGGTTTAGAAAAACTGAATTGCTTTCCATTTTGTCATCTGTCCCTTCTCCCTGCCTTCCCCTCATGGTGATTTGAGTGTTCTCCCAGTCATTCCGGTTTGTAAACTTGAGAACTTGAACTCTCCTTGGCCATTTTCTCCAAAGTACCCAGWTGCGTGTTGCTCTGTTTTGTTTCCTCCCTCCCTACCAAATCTGCTCTACATTTCTGTTTGCTGCAATTAAATCCATCTCTGCCATAATTTCCTCTCTGTTTGCTAAGGTTATTTTACTACTTTTGCAATGTTCCTTTTCCTCCTGGATCAAACTCCAGCCTYCCATCCTTGGGTTTTTCAGTTCAGCACAATTTCCTCACGTAAATGCTTTATTTCATCTGTCCCTCTCACTACTATTTTCGTGCTTGGTACCAACCTTCTCTTTCGTCTGTAACYAAACCACCTTCCATTTCTGTCAAATTCCCTCCAGAAGCTTCCTTTATTGTCATCATATTCTTGGAGTACTGCTGACCTGTATGACAAGCTGCCAGCTCAACTCCTGCTGTGTATTCACTCTACCTGTGGGGTGGATTTTAAAGCACTGCACATGCTGTTCTTACTCTTGAGATAAATATGCTGTRTATAGTCAGGGTGCACAGTCAGGTCCCCTCTCTGCACTGCCTTCCTTAATCCATAGCACTGACAGGCTGAGAATAAGAGCAATACTTAAGAATTAAAATTTAAATGCCCTGAAAAGGCTGTAGAAGAAATACATATGACTGCATTGCTTTTTRTAACTTTCCTGAAATGTACAGTGACCAATTAGCATCATTAACAATTAGTACAGAGTTAAAATCGAAAATTTTCTTGAAATAGAGCACTAAGTGCTTCAACTCACATGTCCAAATAATAGGCTTTTTATTACTTCAGTAAATTTAGACCTCAGAAAGGCAAGGACTTTGATGAACGCTTTCAATCATCTTCATTCCTAGAAATTCTGTTTTCTGGTACAGATTTTTTTAAAACTTGAGGGAGATTACAGTATTTCTATCAAGAATGATTGATGTATCAATTAAAAAAATTCAAAAGCTTTTCAGTTTGTTTTTGAAAGACCTAGCTTTTGTAATGCGTACCTTACTCAAGAAGCTGTGATGTGTWCATGACTGAATGACTGTGATATTTCTATTTAGACATCTGTGAAAAAAGTTTTAATTAAATCCTGTCCTCTTTGAGTAATACAATATCAAATCCAGAAAGTTGCTATCTTTTTTACCTTTTGTGCAACAGGAAGCAAGACACAAATTTAGTAATTAATGTTCAGATATTTATTGTTTCAGGGAACACATTTTGAACAGCTGTTGCTTAATTTTGAGTTTCAAATTATTTTTTCCAAATTCTGTTCTGACTGCGCCTTAGTTACTTCTAAAATGAACCTCCTAACAACTTCTTTGTTCAGTTTAGTAGTTGAAGCTATAATCTATTTATATAGATTACTTTCTAGAAATATAAATTCTAAGACCCAGGCAAAACCCTGCGTGCAGAATTAGTTAAATGTTTTTTGAGAGCACAGGAACTGTGTCCACCTGATAACTCTCCTTCCCTGGGCCGTTTTGTTCAGGCATCCTTTGCTGTGCTCAGAGAGTCTYTGCAAGCAGGATACAGGCAAGTGCAAAGAGGAGGGAAGCTATTTGTTGGTCCTAGTTGGGACATGCAAGATATTAGGTTGAGCAYCAGAATGCTCAGTATCCTGATAAAAGGATTCGGGGGCAAGCATTGGCCTTCATCCCTCCTTGGAATTGGCTGATCATTAGTCTTACTGAATTTCTGTCTGCCAAAACCCTGACTTTCTTTCATACAGTTTYAAACCTTTTCAGGTCAATGTTCTTCCTCTTGAATTTTCAGGCTACTTATTGCTTGTATTTCAGCCATCATGGCTTCTTTTTTCCCTCTGTTCTTATCTCAAATGGCTCTTCGTACTTGTACTTTGTCACAGCTTTCTTACAACTGGAAAAAATTTTCTCAAAAGTCTGAGCCAAAAATACATGGCTGTGCCATTTCAGAGTTAAGCCTTGTATCACATGCAGCTTAACTCCCAGGGCACACATTTTGGGATTAATGTTCCAGAAACTAGAAAGAGTACAGAAGAGGATTATTATAAAATGAAAAGCATTTTGATTTTTAATTTCTCCCAGTCTTTATTTTGGTTACACTTACTATTTTATATTTAGGAAAAAGAGGCAGTGAAATAGTTTTGCTAATAGACAATGATAACATAAAAATACGTGGATGCCAATGGTTCAGAAGTTATTAGAAAAGTGAAACTCTCAAACTTCCAGTGGGAACGAGAATATCYATTAAAATTAGAGCTTCCTAATTCCTATGATGGCTTGGTCATTCTCTAGCAGAGTGTGAGATTTCTAGAAGAGTCATTTACATGTACCTGTGATGCCTATAGAGTGATCTGAAAATAGTGGACAATTGGTACAGGTTACTTGGAATGAGCCTGTGTTGCAATTAAACATCAAGATGCCACCTGTTGTCATGATGTTTCAGAAAGCAATCCTGCTCTGAGTCTTGTTACATTTGGAGGCTGTGTACACCTGAGGCCTCTCATCCTTCTTGTGCGAGATTCTTAGGAAGAGATGTGGCATGAACACTGCTAGTCTGTCCTCAGTTTTAGTCTGGGATATGTCTTACGTAGTGTTATAGGATGTTCACAAAATAACATTTTTTCCTGGGAAAATGGTGCCCTATGTAATTGTTGTAATGTTATGTACAACCTGAAGATGAATTGGTAAAGCCTTTTAATGAAGAGGGGTGTGCCATCATGGACCAAAGAGACCCTAGCTCAGGTCCTGACATATTTCTGAGTTTTAACCAGAGAATAATAATGTATTTCACTCACCACATAGGGCAGTATGGACTTTGGATGACCTGTGGCAGAGGTGTCCTTTGAGGCTTGACACAGTGAACCTTTTTGGCTTTTAGCATTGTGCTGGCATGTTGAAGATTCTTTTGTTAGGGCATGGTAGCACATGTGTGATGCAGGGATTGCTGCATTGTACTTGACTGTGGGATAAMAGCATTCTTGATTCTGGTGCTCTTAAAACTCGAGGCCTGGCAAGACTTGGAAGCTTGCATGTCTTCTGTGGACTGTTCTTGTGTGCATCCGTATGCCTGGGATGGAGAGGATGTAGTTGTCACAATCTTTCCTACTATTCTATTCTGAGTAGCAACGTCTGTTGCTATGCTGCTGTTGCCTTGGCTGTTGTGAATTTCAGTGTTCTAAAAAGCAGTTATTTAAGCATAAAATTGACAAATAAATAAGATTTCTTTTTGAAAAAATGTGATTCTGCAGTGTTTAGCTACTCCTGGTTCTCCAACTGGCAGAGTTTGTGTCTATCCCTCTGGACAATGCTGGGGCTCCTCTTTGACCAGTGCCTTAAAATAGGCCATTAGCAAAGACCTTTTGTCCCAAGCAAAAAAACAAAGAAAAAAAAATCACAATGTGACATTGTGAAGTGAAGTTGTGATTTTAAAAGCTGGAATTATTTCTAATGTTTTTGTTTCATCTGCTTGAGAAACTGTCAGTTTTCTTTTAAATGACCATAAGGCTTAGATCTTTCCAAGCTCCCATGCTGTGCATTGCTCTAAAACAATAGATTATCAGTTCACAAACAACTGGAAACAGAAAGTGCTGGGATGCTGCAGCTGGTTTTGTAGCATTATCACATTGAAAGGTGCAGGTACTCCATTTAGGTTTTAAAAAATATCATCAGTTGTTTTGTGGAATATAAATAGTTGTTCCAAACTGACAAAAAGATACTTACAAATGTATTTGGTTGTGATATTTTGTTTCACACATAAATATTTGTTCAATTACTGTCACAAAAAGATCTAGAGAATATGAGCAGGTTTTTCCTTTTTCCAGTTGCAGACTCTGGCACTGATTATCTGTGGCAGTTTTTTTCCATACACATTAATGTGGCTTTGGGACGATCTGTTCTGACTGTAGGTATATAAATGAGTGAAAAAGTGTGAATTAATCCATAAATGTTGAAAGCATAGAATGTCCTGTGCAGATTTCAGATGTAGCTTTCCCTCCTATGTAAGTGAAAAGTATGAAGTTAATGTCAATATCTGTATGGCCAGATTGTGTGCTTTTTGGATAGARGAGGTGTCAAGTGCTTTTGGCTGCATGTGCATGTGTAATACACAGCTCCAGACTCATAGCAACAAATACCAAAAAGGGGTACATTTGCAGCTCCTATTTTCTTACTATGCTCTGCATGCTGGCATTGTTTATTGTACTGACCAACATTTTGTTACTAGCCCCTTTCCTGTTGTTAAAAACATCTTTTAGTTTGTCCCATCCTGCTGGCACAGGGTAGACAAGGACAGATATTTAGCTATTCAGATAGAAACTGACTCAGTTGCAAAAATGTGAAAATCTGTTTTTCATATGCAATTGGAACAGATATTTTAGAAATGTCCTAAAATGGATTTTTTTTTTTAAGACAGAGTTTAGTCTTGATAATAAAGAAGTAGGACTCTACTTGCTTAGGAAGTGGGAATTTAGAAGCCAAGCCTCTGCAGCTCCTAAGCCAGCTTGTTTCCAGGCTGCCAGACTCTGGAGCCAGCTGGCTTCAATTTCTGGGTAAAGAGGCAAGAAATGGGGCAGAATTCCAGTACAAATTTGTCAAAGTTGCATACTGTGTGGAAAATTCTGATTTGAGAAAAATAATTACTTTATTCTCTCATGGAAACTTCCATCTGGGATGTTCTCTCTCTTTGCTTCTTTAAGGGATGTTCATAAAGAAAGAAGTAAGCTCTCTAATGCAATAAATAGAAAACAAGCTAATTTGAGTTTTTACAGGAGACAGATGCATTAAATGTTCAATCATTTAATCATAAATTTCATCATGTTTGATTTTAATATCTCCAGATTGTTGAAGCTTTCAGGATGTGAGCAGTAATATGAGATAATACAAATCCTAACCCAGAAGGCAAAATAATCCAGACACTCAGTACTATTTTTCTCTCATCGTTATTGGGAAAAGAGGATCTAAGTGTGATTTCTTGAAATTTTAGTATTGAATTGTGTTATTTTGAAGATGCTGATACCCTTCTTGCTAAAAGGATGCAAAAACTTTGAATTTCATAAGCATAATTTTTATATAAAAGAAAGCCTTCTATCTTCAACACTAGAACCAGCATTACATAAATTGCCATTGATGGATTTAATTGATTTTACATTTCCTTGTTTTTTTTCAGTTTATAAATTTTTAAAATAATCCATTTATTTGTAATTGCAATTGGCTTCTGCCCAAATGTTATCTTTCCATCAGGGTTACAATGGTCTCCTAGACAACAAGAGATCTAATTCTAATGAGACAAGTAATTTCACTGTACCTCTTTTATGTTGACTAAAATTTATACAGAAATCTCCTCTATTTCTTTTTTTGTTTGTAATTCATTCAGTTGAGGATTTGTAGCTGTTGACTGAATGGTTTGCTTTAGTTTCTCCCTTTTTCACTCCTCTTGTACTTGTGCTTTGTTTTATGCCTTAAGAGGGTGACATACATTCAAACAGTTCTTGTTCAAGTATTGTTTATTTTTTGTTTATCTTCTATAGTTCTCTTTCTAGCATGAAAACAGGAAAATTCTCAACTTTTAACTCTCCTGGTTTAGAGGCTGCATCTCTTCCTGTTTAGTGCATGACATAAATATAAAACAACTTTTAAAAAGCAAGACTTTTATATAGGAGTCTATAAATCAACCAAGTATTTGAAATATATCCCATTGGATGCGATCCACTATTGCATTGTATTTCTCCAGGAAAGATGAACAATGCTTCAGCACCTCAGATTTGTTTGAGATTTGGATGTGTGTTGCTTCCCCTTTCTGCTTGCTTCTGAACTCAACTTCTCAGTACAGTCAGGCATACTGGTCTGTGACAGTCACCYGAAATTTTGGATTTTATTGTAAAACTATAATTTTATAAGTTTATTGTAATCTATGCAAATTGCCTTTCTCAAAATTACTGTTTGCAAACAGTAAAACATATCAGATATTTATCTCAGTAAGCATACTTCAGAAAATTCTACTTYAGCTTGAGAAACTGCATATGTATTAACTGAATATAACTGAAACTGCATATAACTGAAAAGCAAGCAGTTATAAAAATATTTGTAAAGACTGGAAAAGTACCAGCATTCATACAAAAATTAATAGTATTTTCTCTCAACCTTCCTTTCCTATTGCCTGAAGTACTGCAGAAAATACAACCTGTCCATCATAAGAGAATGCTGCAGAATTAGAGGGACTTGTACTGATGATGACTGCATCCAAAAAAAAGCTGTTGTACCCTGCAAAGTTGAACTGAAAAATTWGACTTCCTGAGCATTCAGCATTCTTTAACTTTTTTTAAATGCTTAGACAAAGTTCTCAAATATGGAGTCATAGTTATAGTAGTATTTGTTGAGTGATAGAAAAGGCTGGAAAATGTTCTTTAGTTTGAGTATGTTTGCTGGCCTCTTTTAAATTTATTCTAATTTTGAGAGAATTCTTAAGTTCTTAGTAACAGCTGTCCCTTCTACTTCTAACTTCTGTTAAGAATAGCAGAAGAAGGGAGAAAATAATTTAACTGAATGGAACTTCTTTTTAAGAAACASAATGCCATAAAAAGCAAATTTAAGGAAGGGAGAGGGCAGCTGAAAGACAGCTTGAAAACATTACATTTTTTCAGTTTTATTTAAGGTTGAGGTTTAAAAAAAATAGGAAAAATACATACCTTCTGCACGTTGTAGAGATTGCAATATGCAATATTTTTATGACCTTGGAGAAGCTCAGAGAGATGCAACATGACTTTTTTGACACTGCTGGTTGATTCTAATGAGCAACCATTGTTCATGTCCAGCTACAAGTTTAAAACATGCTTGTCAACAACATAGAGATAATGGAGRCTCTGGAGTCTTTTTTCTGTGTTTTTGTGTACAAATTTAGCTCAATGAGACTTAAGTAATTCTCAAGGACAAGTACTGAGATGAAGCAAGCATCTGAAAATTGCTATAATGCTTTTAGTATAATGTGTTTAATGTTCAATATTTCAGTTAAAGAATCTTTAAATATAAAAGCTATTTGTGAGCCCAAGCTTTAGCCTACAGAAGAGGTTTCAAGTCAATTGCTAGTATTGCTTCTAGATAGGGTAAAATACTATGTATATTGAAGACTTTTCTTCTGCTTTCCTCTGCTGCTTTAATRCTCATTATACACATGTTGCACTGTATTTTAGTGTATTTCTTTTCCTCCAAACAGAACAGCACTTTTCCGATGTTGTACTTAGTGAAGAATACCTCAATCTTGGTGTAGAGCAGGTGTGCAGTCTTATATCCAGTGACAAACTCACAATTKCCTCAGAGGAGAAGGTAAGACAACCTGTATCCCATTATTCTTTTTATCCTTTTATGTGAAAGGGCAAGCTTGCTCATAATTGATCTTATACACTTTTTTGGATGTGTTCTGTTACCTTARTGAAATTAGGCATGTATTGTGCTCAAGTTTAAGGGACTTTTCCCAAAAGTGTTGTCAGTCTGATGCTGAAAATTAGTTTCAACTCTTAAAAGTCCTAAAACTGTATTAACTCATATTACCCTTTGTTCTTTGGGGGAAAAAAAGCTGAAAAACAAAACCACATTAAATGGAAATTCCTTCTAATCTTCAAGCAGAACAAACAGAACAGATGCTGAGTCACATACACAGGACTTTGATTTACCAAGGGATAAATAACTCAAAGTTTGAAGAGCAATTATATGCCATTTGCTAACTTTAACATCAGCAGTCCCACAAAGGTATTAAATCTCTGTATGTATGTGTGAGCTGTTCAGCCTAACTGAACAAATGTGGGTTGCAGAGGAGRTGACTAGGCAGCTTGGTATTACCTAGCCTGAGTTTAATGTGTATTGGCTCAGATTTAGCTTAGATTTCAATCTTTTAAAGCCATTTTTGAAACCTTCAGTGAGCCCAGGTCAWCTCTGTAAACCTCTATTGGTTTTCATGTTGTGGGTGTATTCATTTTGAGCTTTTTAAAATTCAGTTATGATCTATTTGAAATAAGTTGTTTTTCTTTTTTCAAAGGACCATATAGTTGTACTCAARTGAAGCTAAATTGTGTTCAAAAGCATTCATTTGTGCAGTCAGGTAGTGTTTCATGTTAAAACCCTTTTGAAACTTTGAATCTAAGAACCATCTGCTTAACAGCAACTAGCAAAGCCATGTTGTTGTTCCTGTAATAACCCGAAGGTCTGGTTCTATCACTTAGATACATGTGGTGCTGCTTTTGTTGAGTATAATTAAGGTTTTAATGCTCTAATGACTGATGAGCTACTGTGCAATGGAGGCAAAMCCATGCTTAGGATCACTTCCCCATGTAAGACTCAGAGATCATAAGTCATTTGAATGGTGATGTGGCAGGTCAGTTCTCCAAGAAAGGAAGAAAATTATGAGCACAGTAATATTCCTGCTGCTGTGTTGTTTCTTTGTCTAATTTTCAGTATCACTGAAGTCACTGTGTGTGTTTTGTCAATGTAGCACAGCTAGCCTTGAAACACCAGTAGAGGAGTAGATATATAAAGAGACCAGATAATGCAAATTCATAATTTTGTAGTTGATAAATATGCTGTCATCTGTTCTTATGTTAGGAGTTTTAGTATAAGCAAGACTGTTTTTGGAGACACACTGATGTTTTCCTGCTTATGAACTTGTAAGTCAAGGCACTTGATTTGTTTGTTTTTTGGAAGGTTTTTGAAGCAGTGATAGCCTGGGTAAACCATGACAAAGATGTAAGGCAGGAGTTAATGGCACGTCTGATGGAGCACGTTCGGCTGCCTTTGCTTTCCCGCGAGTATTTAGTTCAGGTAAGCAATAAGGAATACTAATTATTCTGCATGTAGCATTTCTGTTCATTATTTTAATACCAGATAGATAATTTTAAATTTAAACAGTGTCATGTAGTATGTTAGTRATGACAGAAGTAAACGAACAACCACTGCCTCATAATCATGTGCACAAACACACTGAGGTGAGGAATTGCCACGTAGAGCATGACTTGCACAAGTAATTTTTCTGTTTGGCTGACTGYGTGTCATACCACACTAGGAATTTGATCAATGTAATTCGCTGACATCAGGCTAGGTTTCATTGKTAATACGATCTTTGATAAAGGATTTGTTTTCCTTAGTGAATTTTCAACTTCAGAATTATATCTATTGTTTAAGCTGATTAGGGATTAATGACAAAGGAAACGTTCTTTTACCTGGTTGAAATAAAATACATTTTTTTCAAATTTTATAACTCATTTAGATATTTTGCTGTCAGGTAAATATTTAAGATTGACAATATGARTTCAGTATTAACATTGGTTAGTAGGTATTAGTAGTAGGTTGGTAGGTGTTTATTTTAAAAATTGTGGTTTTGTAATACAATTCTCCACTTTGTGTGGATTGTTTTGGGTGGAATTTGGGGTTTTTTTTGTGTTCTGTTGTGGTTTTTATTGTTCTGGGGTGGTTTATTAGTTTGTTAAACTATTCTTCACTACTGCCCTCTTAAAATGTTTTGTACTGTCTGTATTTTAAAATCAAGAAATTATGCCCAGCTGGAAGAAAAGGGATTTACCTTGCCTAACATGGTTTCTGCCACTTGCTAATTAACAATCAGCATCTTCTGATTTTTTTTTTTTTTTTTAGTGACTGCACATTTCAACACAAATTTGTGTCCTCCTGGTTAAAAATAATCTTAAAAATTAGATTAATCTCCATTTGTGTGATAGATCATAGGCTTTATTACACTTTGGATTGTGATTTGTGTTTTACTTCTTTAACATGCTCAGACCTTGATTAAACTTCTATTAATAAACAGAGAGTTGAAGAGGAAATATTGGTTAAGAACAGCAGTGCTTGTAAAGATTACCTCATTGAAGCTATGAAGTATCACYTGYTACCGACTGAGCAGCGAGCATTGATGAAAAGCACACGAACAAAATTGAGAACACCCGCTAGCCTTCCAAAAGTAAGACCCTTATTTTTCCCATGTATTTACTATTTCAATCTTCATTTCAAAAGCTTTCATGAAAGCATGGCTGTCTCTTGGGATATTGCTGTAAAAAATTGTAGCAGAACTGTATATCACAAAAATATAACAAGTGATTACCTTTACATTCCATACTACTTATGATATAGGTGGTTTGGCTTCCCATCTACACAGAACATCACCACTAACTGCCCTTCCAGAAAACATTTTTTAATAAAGTGCTTCAGCTTTTGAGAATTACACATTTATTGAGAAATAAGCCTGTTGGAAGAAAAAAAAAAAAAACCAAGCCCTAAAAAAACCCCAAAGCAAACAAAGAATGACTGAAGCTTCTGAGTTGACACTTTTTATTCTATCTTTAGTCCACTTTAGCAAAAAATGAACACTAGATACTTCCTCCTTTACAGGGAAGTAAAAAAGTTTTCTCATAGTACTATTGTGACAACTGCAATAACAGAATAGGTAATTCAATTCAGCAGATTTAGCACATTTATCTTAGAAGAACAAGATAAGGGTGTTACGTGATGGATGGTCACAGTTCCATTACACATAATAGACACCACATTCTCATACTTGAAATCACAGTAGGATTTGATGATATAGCAGGATCTACTTCTTTCATGAGAGCTTTACCAAGATTCTGATTGCTTCCTGCTTTTCTACCCCTGGTATTTCCYCTGGACACAATAAATATGAATTACATTTGTTTTAAACAAAGCCTAACAATTAATTTTGCCGGGTTTGCAAGATTCAAATTTCTAACTTAGCAGTTATTTTTACTTTACTTATTTCTTTTACAGAAGCTTGCTTTATTTCTTAACACTTTTTTGATCTTTCAGGTGCTCTCATGTATGCAAATAACTAACACTTCTTATTATCTCCCTGTTAGTTGATGATGGTAGTTGGGGGCCAGGCACCAAAGGCAATTCGCAGTGTTGAATGCTATGATTTTAAAGAAGAACGCTGGCATCAGGTAGCAGAATTGCCTTCCAGAAGATGTAGAGCAGGTAAGGATGCCTCATTTTTTGTTGAGGTTGGTAATGCTTCAGAATTTAGGCATCTACATAAAGTATTGTATATTCTTTGGAACACTATTTGAAATATTTATCTGAGAAGAGCTAAATGTTGACTTCCCTGATCATTTGAATTACTTGCTAATCTGAAATGATATAACTGATAAATTGTGCTTAATTTGTGCTTCAGTTTGTAATCTGTAGGATGAACTGTTTATTACCTCCCACAGAAACAAGGGATAAATAAATTTAAATATWAATGCATTGTAATAATAACTAATTTTGCTATTAAAATACCTTATTATTGAGGTAATTATTAATTATTATTAAATGAAATAAAGAATGTGAAGAAGTGATGGTCCACTATTAAAAACATGAAAATACTATATTAAAGCAGCTGAGTGATTCAGGCATGAAAAGATTCAGCAAGCATGGTATTCAGAAATGTTGTTGCTATTAGTAACAAAAAGTGTCAGAAATTCTAGAGCTTAATCTGAAGGAAGTGTGGTTCTAGGACATTGTCGAAAGCATGACAAGCATAGTGAGTACTGTAATATGTGTCAAGTATCTGTGTACTTAGGACAGTACAGAATACAGTTAATTGACAGAGAGACTGAAACACTCATTTTTCTTGCCCATTTCCCTGCTCTAGGAATGGTGTACATGGGAGGCATGGTTTACGCTGTTGGTGGTTTCAATGGCTCTTTGAGGGTTCGTACAGTAGATTCCTATGATCCAGTGAAGGACCAGTGGACAAGTGTTGCTAACATGCAAGACAGGAGAAGCACACTGGGAGCAGCAGTATTAAATGGCCTTCTTTACGCTGTGGGAGGATTTGATGGGAGTACAGGTATGTTTGCCTTAGACACTTCTGAATACCTTTGACTGCTCTTAACATAATTGTATCAAATCTGARTGTCTCTTTTTGCTGGTACTTTTGGTGAAACGAAGCATGAGGGTAGCTTGGCATCTTGTGATGTGGAAYATGCTTAAGTGGTCACATTCCTCTACTTGAAAAGTGGACTGTTTTCTCCTTTCTAAAAGTTCAGGCTTAATGACTAGTCAACTTCTGCTAAGTTCCCTTTCAGTATTCGTTCTATAGTCAGAGTCCTTAACTTGTGGAAGATGTGAACAGAAAAATTACCGAGTCTGTTTTATTCTGTTTGGATAGGARATTTATTTCTGCATTTTCACGTAGTGTGAGTAAGATTATAAATATTTTTTTTCTGACCTGTGAGAAGGCTTTAGACATACACTGGTCATTCTCTTCTCCAATGCACTGAACAATTAGTGCAGAGGTGATCCTTTTGCTGAAGAACTATTATAAGAAGCATATGTAGGAGAAAATGTGTGACTTAATTACAAACAAAGGGAAAAAAATCCAGTGAAGAATTTTTTACAGTTCCACAAAGGTTTTCAGTAACTTGCCCATTTTCAGATACAAAGAATGGGTTGACTGAAATTGCCTGTCTAAAGGAGATCAGTTGCACTTTTTGTTCAGTAATTAACAGTCCTTAAAATGAAATACTTTGAATTTTCAGATATGAAGAGTTTCCTGAAAGCTAGRCAGTATGTTGCACCTAAATTTATAGAGAAAATGTTATGTTATCTTCATAGGTTTGTCATCAGTCGAAGTTTACAACTTAAAGACAAACGAGTGGTTTCATGTAGCTCCAATGAACACAAGAAGAAGTAGTGTTGGCGTAGGTGTTGTTGGAGGTAAGTTGACATGTGATATTAAAAAGAACGAAGGGAAATGCAATCATTTACCCTGCTAGCTTTTCTTACTTTTGAAAACATGTTTTATGTTTTTGCTCAGCCTTGTAATTCAAATGGTATGAGCAATCTGTAATCATTCTACGTGGGTTTTACCAGTTTTTAGCATAGTAGTTTTTAAATGTTTTTCAGAGCTTCAGCTGTGCCTGAGGCTAACTGAGGAAAAGCTTGCTAAGCTCTAGGTTCAGTATGTCAGCAAAGTCAGAGAGCTGACRTTAATAGCTTATCGTTTGGTCTTTAGTGATGTAGCACTGCTGTATTGTCAGCTCTGTTATCTGTGGCTGACTTTGCTGGCTGCATGCTGGGGACAATCCCAAGGACAGTGCCAGGAAAACTGCTGACTTTCCAGTCAGCTTGGTGGTGAACAGCCTGAACGTCACTTACAGAATGAAGGCCTGGCCTGATTCTTGGTCTTAAAACAGTTTTAGGTGTGTGCATGTTTTTTAACTGCATAGGAACCACTGCTCTTTCTAATCGGAAAATGTGGACTGTACAAGTAATTTTCATCTAMATTTCTGATATTTCTAGGAAGTCTATTGGTGAGCTTCATGTATTGACCGTAGTTGAATTAGCTTGCTTTTGCCTGTGTGCCAATCCCTGTGTGAGCTCTAGAAACCAGCAGGTTCCTTTGGTTGTCCTTTGCCCTCCTAGGTAAGCTGTATGCTGTTGGTGGCTAYGATGGAGCATCACGGCAGTGCCTTAGTTCAGTAGAATGCTATGATGCCAATTCAAACGAGTGGAGCTATGTCGCAGAAATGAGCACGAGACGGAGCGGAGCAGGTGAGTGGGCAAGGGTCGCCTGTCCTGGTAAAGATGAAAACCTGTGGGTTTAAAATGTACCTAAAATACAAAAGGTAAGCTGAAGTCTGAATCTGTTGGAATGTGCTAGTCCCAGGTGGCTGATACACAGCACGTTATGAAAACAAAACTGTTCTACAGAGTAAGGTTTACTGTTKTAATAGTAAATATCTCCCTTTTTTTTCATACTTTCATATTCCTCCTCTTCCCACAACTTCCGATGGTTTTTAACAGACTATTACTCATGGATTGTAATAATCACTATCACCTCAATTCTGAAGTATCAAAATCTATACAGCAAGGATGAAAAAAAGTCTTTTTGCAAAGATCTCTTTGCCAGTTAGGGCTGATTATTCTAACAGCATTTTCAGGTTGAGTTTATGTGTGAGCTCTGATTAGGTTTCCACCTCTTTGGAGGACTTGTTCTGCATTCTGATTCACTGCAGGAAATTTTGTCCTTGTTCATTCTTAAGTTTGTATTACTGGTTTCATCCTATTACTTCCACTTATGTACCCTTTATTTCACCTTCAGTAATTCTTCTCATCACCTGGTGTTTACATCCTCTGTACATGTACAGCCTACTACTTGTTATCCTTCCTTATCATTTAGCCAAGGTATATCCACTGATTTCTGTATAATCTTAAAAATCCCTTTTTTCTTTTTTTTGGGGTGGGTTTTCTTTTCCTTCTTGCAATTCTGAGTATGTATATTTCTMTTTAAAGATATCAAAAGTGACTGTGGTATTCCACTTTTGTTTAATGAAATGATGCTTCCACAGCTCCAAATTGACATTAGCATTTCCATTATCTATTTATATTATGGACTTGAATCTCATTTACTGTTCACTGTCGTCTATTTGTCTTTTGGTATTTCAGGTTTTTTCAACTCACAGAAGTTGTTTTATTTCTCTAGATGCGTTCCCATGGACTTTATCAAGTCAAATTCCATGATATTATTTTCTACATTTATTTTTTAGTAGTGAAGTTCACTTTTATGCAAAGTACTTAATCRTGGTTTTTAGCAACACCCTTCAAGTATCTACTGGTGATTGCATTAATTCTTCACAATGGGAAGAGATATTGCTACAAATAAATTTGGATGGACTTCTAGTACACTCAGCATATGATTAACAGTTATCCCAACTTTCCATCCTACCTTCCATTATTCTTTGTTAACTCTGAACAGTTTTTTACCAGTATAATGATGTTTAAATTAAGTTCAAATAATTTCAAAACAAATCTATCAAAGTACTAAATTCATTACTAAAATTAAGKGTATGTGATACTTCCATTATATTCTTATAAAATCAGCAAGCTGATAACTCTTATTATTAAAAGTCATGTTTTGATTGTGCTTCTAAACTAAAACTATGATGTTAATGAAGGAAACATGATACATTATACCTGAAGAAACACAGTTGTCTTGTGAAACTTCTAGTAACTCAGTCTGTGCATCTTGGTAGTAAATTCTGGACTAAAAACTGGACAGAGTTACAGTAAGGGTACCAGAAAATATTCTTATCTAATATTTGGCAAATTTTGAGGAAAATATTTGTATGAAATGGGCAAGTTGCTAGTATCATTATAAAGATGATACAACCAAATAGTGTTGGTGGGTTATAACAAAGCTTCATTTTGCAGTCTGCCTGCACACACATTTTGTTTCAGTGCTTAGGATTTATTTTTTGATACTCTGTTTTGCAAACTGTTGTGCTTGTAGCCTATTTATACAGTAGATGTTTTCAGATTTTTCTTAATGTTGAATTTTTTCTACAACTCTGAAATTTAGCTGCTTAACTATACTAACCACTGGGAACTTCCTGCCCCTCTTCTCTCTCCCCTTGTCCCTGTGTTTGCTTACTCAACTCTCTTCTGCCTTTTACCTTGTCCACTAATTAAAAAAATGGAGAGGAAAATGAAATGTAGACAGTTATTTGAGATTCACATAATTGTTGGTTATTAAAATAACCAACATTCTTCTGTGCCACTCTGTTAAACACATGGAAAATTATATTTTTGCATGGCAGAGGAGTGGGTGGTGATGTGAAAATTGTGGCTGTTCATTAAGCTTGGCTGTATAGGCCAAATATCCAAACCCACCAGAACTGTTTCAACTGGCAATCAGTCCTGGTGGTGTTATGGGGGCTAACTGAAGAGAGTTTTGTTCCTGTATTAAACTTTTGGATGTTTGGTCATCTCAAGGAACTTAAGCTCGTCTCTTCTGTTCCTACTGCTTCAGCTTCATTCAAAAGCAACTTTTCAGAGGTTAACCCTCAGTTACTCTTCTTTAGTACCCACTGCTTCTCAGTTGATCAATACGGGGACAGATCTGTTTCCAGCAACATATTGGGATGAGGAACTTCAGATCCAGATATAGGCCATTTGGGAGGGCTGAGAGATATAAGACAGGGTCCTGAAAAATGGGCAGGAAAGAAAAATAACAAAGAAAGGAGAACTCAGAAGACGGCAACCAGAGGACACAGACGGAAGGAGCAAGAAATAAGGTAGGACCTGGATACTGGGTGTGGGATTAAGGGTAAATGAAGCRCCATGGAGGAATGGAGGACATTATTAAAAATAAGGAGCTATGAAAGAAAAGAATGGCACTGTGGCAGAGGGAAAACTACACACTGAATAGGAAGGCCAGTAACTATACTGAAAGCATGGGTGGGGGGATTTATATCACATCACATATTTAAACWGAGAATCATAGCACTCCCAGCTCTGCAATGTTTAATTCCACAAAAGATGAATGTTACACTATCCTGTCTAACAAAGTGTGATCAGAGTGGGAGAAAGAAAAGTCATATTGTTCTGTGGCATGATGCCTAGAAATAATAGCAATAAAAGAAGAATTAAATTAACTGGGAAGGTTATGGGAAAATGTTAGTAGTGAATATCACTGATAAAGCACTAAATAGCAGGATTTATAAGTATCCCATCAAGAAGCTATTTTTCAGATTTACAGTACGAGTTAGCTTCCATGTTTCCTTCCTCTCTTCCTTTATTAAAATCAGTCTCTTTAATAAGAAAATTTAGTCATTTCAGCAAGAGTCGTTTCTCTCCACATTTAGGAATGGCTCTTAAATACAAAATTAATTATATTTTTTCAAAGATATTTCAGCTGGTTATTAAGGTCTTGGGGTTCTCTTTTTTTTCCTTTTTATTTTTAACCTCAATTTTTTTTTCTTATCTGACTTACCTTATTTTTTGTATTCATATTTGTTGTTTCCCCTTAAAAAAGATTTTAAGTGGTTCCCTTTAGAAGCTGCATTTGCAAATCTATATCTCAGCTCTGAGTTTCATTGTCTTAAATGTGGCATTTATTAGATTTCCCAGTATACTTTCTTAGAATTGCTTTCTTAGTTGTCTTTATGGTCCATCACTCAGAAGCTTTAATGCAAAAAACCCTCCTACGTTTCTGAAATCTATTATGTTTGGATTCTAATAATGCATTATAAAGGGAGGAATAAATAAAAAGGTCTTTGTTTCTGTCCCCATTTCCATCTTTTTAGTATGTGTGCGCAAAAAGCAAGTASATAGAACTAGTTTTACTCACTCCTTCATTTCAAGCTCACAGATTGATAAATTTTTGTTGTAAAGTAAAGGACACCTTAGGATTAAAGGACACCCTTTAATATCCTTTTGGATATTTTGATAACTGAAGCTTGGTTCAAAGACGCTTGGTGTTCTTCAAATCCCAGAGAAGGTACTCGCTGTTAACTGTTACTTCTGTTTCATTTATCTGTTTACAAGGTATTCCAACACTTCAGTGGAAACATCCCTATTGTATAATGTCTATCCATCCAGCTTTTATCCTCTGTACTGCGCAGTTTTTATTTTCTAAAAATYCACTTACATTTTATCATCTTGTCAGATTTCTGTTATTGCTGGCTGACTACATTGTCTCATTTACTGTCACTTCTAATTAGTCCTAAATTTCAACTAGCCTCATTTTCCTGCACGTCATTTTTCGTCCAAAATTTTCTAAATATTCTGTTGCAGAACAGCTCTGGTCTTTGTATGCTGCAATATGGTAGATGAGCACGCAAGGCATTTTATCAGTCTTGCTGTAGTTACTGTCTCTTTGCTTTAATGCATCCTGACCCAAATGTTTTCTGAAATTATTTCCAACATTGATTTAATAAAGGATTTATGTTAGCTGACATATTTGTTGTTTCTCCTTTGTATCATTCAAATAATTCTCTGGTTAATTGTGTGTATTTTCATATGTTTGCAGGTGTTGGTGTGTTAAACAATTTATTGTATGCAGTAGGTGGTCATGATGGTCCTTTGGTAAGAAAAAGTGTTGAAGTGTTTGACCCCATTGCCAGTTCCTGGAAGCAGGTTGCAGATATGAACATGTGCAGAAGGAATGCAGGTATGTGCAACAATGACTAAAATTGTGCCAGTGTCATTTGTGAATGGCATCTACCTGGATTTGTGCTACTTTCATGATATTGCAGAATAAAAAACATGCATCTGGGGTGGTGTAAGCCAATTACTAATTTTTGTACTGATTTCCTGTCCTTTTTTAGGTGTTTGTGCTGTAAATGGTCTCTTGTATGTAGTTGGAGGAGATGACGGTTCCTGTAATTTATCAACAGTGGAGTATTATAATCCAACAACCGATAAGTGGACGGTTGTCTCATCTTGTATGAGTACAGGAAGGAGCTATGCAGGTAATGCATGTAGATATTTTTAACAGACTTTCTAAAGTGTAACATTTGACAAAGCATCCAAACAGAGTCTTGTCTAATGTAAAACCTAAAATATTAAAATGGGTAGGAAGAATCTGATGGTACATTTTGAATGGCAACTTCAAATAATTATTAACTACAATARAAAAAAAAAGGGRYTAAAGTGTACTCAAGAGTGATTTAGCACATAAGTGATGAGTCAGAAAGACGATTCTGGTATGACCAGTTTTTTCAAGAAACTTACGTCTCAGTCTAGGGGGTCCAATTCTGAAGTTTGTTGGGATTTGATATCTAGAAAATGAGCTGTTTTGCGAATCTTTTCCTTCAATAATTGCGGTTTTACAAAAAAGTTATTTAAGTGAATATTAAGGATATAGTTCACTGATAGCAAAATTAAACTTGATTAATGGCAGGTTTTTTCAAGTCATGGAAACTTTTTCAGAACTTTGCACTGATTCAGACAGCTTTGTGTCAAAAAAATTAAGGGAAACATGTACATTGATGCTGGTGCACAATAAAATGCTAATTGCAATGCATCATATTAAAATTCTATGTATTTTTTTCTTGATTAAAAAAAATACTGCCTAAAGATTTATGCCTTTTTTTCCCCTCCCTCTAGGTGTTACAGTTATTGACAAACCATTATGATCAGTAAAGGGATTTTCAACTTGATTATGCACTAGAAGCAGTCTTCAACAAGTGTATTTGAAGTGACTGAGTATCTAAGCACTTCTCTACTTGTAGCTGCACCTTGAGTCACAGTGGAAGATGTGACTGTCTACAATTACAGATGACAGATGATGAAGATTACTCTAGGTAGAAGCAATGCGTAGGATTTTTCTGCAGTTGAGCAGAAGCTGATTGAATTTTTGGAGCCTGGTGGACAATTTTTTTTATTGCAAGATCTTCAAAAAAAACCCAACACTTTCATAAGGACCGACTTCTGTCAGTTATGACTGAGAAACGGATTGTGAGTGAAGAATGGTGTGTATTCTGGTGAAAGTAAATTTTTGTCTTATTTTTTCCAGAGACTAATAAATATATTTAAGGAAATGAACTGTCAGTCTTCATAGTAGGTATTGAATCCCACCTCAGTAATTCAAGCTGGCATGGGGTAAATTTGTTTCCTTTTATAAAACTTTTGTTACATAACTATACTACGTGCATATGTTTGTGTGAGCATAAGTTGCTCTCTATTGAAACTCTTCAAAACCTGATTTTGCTATTTATAATTTGGCACAGTACTTTGAATATGTCAGTACTATGTTGTAAAACAGAGATGTATTTTTTGATATGTAATAATGCTTAACACTAATTCCCATTGAAGGAGATCAGAGAAGGTATAACACTTCTTGAGCAGGTGTAATTTCAAAACCTTTTTAATAAAAATGTTGTCTGTACTTATGGGGTTTTTTTTCCTGTTCAATTTTGGTCACATTTAGATGTTACTTTTTTTATCCTTTTATCCAAAAGGTGATTTGGCATGAAAATAACTGAAAATTTATAGTGACTGTATGCAATTGCGTTGAATTTGCATGGTACAAAGGCCTATTTATGTGTGTAACCTCAGCTTCTATTAGCCAATATCTGAATATACTGTATGTGGCCATGCTTATAAAGCAGCACATTTTTATTTGTTCTTGGATGGCCTCCTTTTAACATGACCAAAGTAACTGTCATATTTGAGACATTTTCTTCAAATAAAAGTTTGTACATTGTTTCCTAATGCCAACAGGTCGCTTAAAACTTGCGTTTCTCAATACAAGTCTCAAACCAAGTAATCTTGACATCAGTGAAATAAATTGGGGCGGAGGGGGAGGGGGGTGAGAAGCCGATGTTCTGGAAGTCTGAATGCCTACGAATAGAGAATTATTAAGGTTTAGGAACCAGTGCCGTGAACATCACTGTTTTGCTGCAGGTCTGTTTCTAGCAGCTGTGGCTGGCTGAGCGCAGGAATAGCCAAGGCTAAGTTCCCGTGAAAGCGCCTGTGCTGCGACATGGGCGGCAGGGCCGGGAGTCACGTAGGTGGCCGAATTCCATGTGCGGCCGCACTGCTGTATGTGCGGTGTGACGCAAGGCAGGGCGAGGCAGGGACTCSAATGGGAACCTTTTATTTGACTTGTACAGTTCCACCTGCATGACACCAACCCGGGGAATGCGGCTCTGCGCCGCTGCTGCCATGACGACACCGCCGTACATCAGTCTTTTCGTTAGCGCGGGAGCAGGGAGCGGGCGCAGGCACMTGCAGGGGTGACAGCTCTTGCAGGCGAGCGCTGTAAGCGGGGGCCGGGCGGTGGCGGCGGCGGGTCCCGGCCGTGGTGGCGCTCCCGTGGCTGTGGCCGCACCCGGGCGGGCCCCGCGGAGCCGGGCGCTGTCGGGCGGCGTGCCGCGCGTGCGGGCCCCGCCCCATGGCGTCGTGCGCGTCACACGGCCGCGCTCCCGCCCCATTGGCCGCGCGCCGGGGTCTCACTATCCTCACTCCATCTCTCCAGCCAATGGCCGAGCGGGAGCCGCCGCCGCGGCCCCGCCCCCCGCCCGCCTGACCCTGCGCCGCTGCCGCCCGCCGGCCAATGAGCGCCGCGCCGGGCGGGGCCGGCAGCCAATGGGCGGTGCGCGGTGCGCGGGCGGCCCCGGCGGTTGTTATTGCACACTCGGGAGCGTTCGCTGCTGCCGCCGCCGCTGCGCAGGTGAGGGGCGAGGGGCGACAACGGGTGCGGCCCGAGCTGCGGGTGCCGGGCTGCGGGTGCCGGGCTGCGGGTGCCGGGCTGCGGGTGCCGGCTCCTCGGGGAGCCCATCTCTTCTCGGCATTCCCGGGCTGCGGGTGCCGGGCTGCGGGTGCCGGCTCCTCGGGGAGCCCATCTCTTCTCGGCATTCCCGGGCGGCGAGTGCCGGCGTGTGTCCGCTGCCTCGCAGGGCCGGGCGAGACGGGGGAGCCTGATCCCGGTGCACTCCGGCCGCTGGTCCCTCGGCTTCCCGGAGTCGTGTTCCGGGGCGGCGGTGAAGTTGCCTTGCGCGTCSGCCGGCCCGGAGCTCCGGCTGTGGGCTGCCTTGGCGTCTGCTGCGATGCTCTTGCTATTAGTAAGGGATGGCAGCATCGCCATGCTGTTGCTAAGAAAGAAAAGCGATGACTGATGTTGCTGGGTACTAGCTTGGTATGCTGCTTAGTGTGTTAGGGTACCTGTGCACCGGAATGGGCTGCCCAGGATGCTGGTGGAGTCACCCTCCCTGGAGGGGCTTAAGGAAAGGTTGGATGCGGCACTTGGTGCCATGGTCTAGTTGCATGGTGGCGTTCGGTCATAGGATCTCAGAGCTCTTTTCCAACCTCACTAATTCTGCGGTTCTRTGATTTTGTCGGATCTCGCCTAAGWGCACCAGCCGATGAGGGACCCGTGTGCTCTGGCCTGTGAGATGCAAACCTGTTTGAGAGTGGAAGATGGACCTGTTAGAGGAGGGAATGGTCAGAGGACACATCGCCGATAGGGAGARGCTGGAAGAGCTGGGGTGGTGCAGCCTGGAGACGAGAAGACTCAAGGGACACCACACTGTGGTGCAGAAAGGGGGCTTTTTGCCAAGGCTTGTAGTGACAAAGCACTGAGCAATGTTTTTAAATTAAAAATGGGTCGGTTTAGATTTGACATAAGAATGAATTTTTTTAACAGTGAGAGTGCTGAGACACTGGAATTGATTGCRCAGAAAAGTTGTGGTTGCCCCATCTGTGAAAGTGTTTAAAGGCCAGGTTGGATGGGGCTTTGAGCCACCTGATAGAGTGAAAAATGTCTCTGCCCATCCCAAGAGGGTTGAACTGTACATGACTTTAAAGGCCCCTTCTGAGCCAAAACAGCAAGGAGCCTAGTCTGTGGAAATGGCACAAGTTCAGGGCMCCTGGAGGAATGCACCCTCTGTGGTTTTGGGAGCTGTGAGGAAAAGTCCATTACTCAGAGAAAGGTGGATTGCCTCAAGCCAGCTACAGTGTTAATATAATTTGCATAGATTTTGGTTCACAGCCATGGGAAAAATGGGACTGGGTAATCAAGAGATAAGGGTTAATTAATCTGTTAAGTCTTGTTTGAATCTTTCCTTTCCTCTTTTAGTACAGAATACAATTATCCTACAAAAATCTTGAAATAAATTTGTCTAATAATTAATACCTATTTGTCCTTTTGCTCCCTTGACATAATCTCAAAACCTAAGAGCTGGCTGCCTCTCAAATTGGTTTGCCTCCCAAACCAATCTAAAGCTTTGTTCTTTTAGTCTATTCTGCATGAAGAGAATCTGTCTTTCCCCTCCTTCCCCAGTTTTTACTTTAGAGCTAGGTAACGACTATATCATGTAATGGTTTTTGTCTTTGAAAATTAACTTTTGCTTATTGATTTTTTCACAAAATTTGCAGGTTACTTACAGACAGCTACAGAAGGACTGTGATTGTGATGTTTTATGATTGAACCATGGCAATGAACGACAGCGTCAATATCTTGAGCTCTGCCTATCTGGCAGTGGAATATATAGACTCTTTCTTACCTGACAATCCCCTGCAACAACCATTTAAAAATGCCTGGAATTACATGCTGGATAACTACACAAAGTTCCAAATTGCAACTTGGGGATCACTTATAGTTCATGAAGTTTCATACTTTTTGCTCTGTGTACCAGGATTTATCTTTCAGTTTATACCATACATGCAAAAGTATAAAATTCAACAGGTAAGAGAAAGTTGTCAACTATACTTGTCTTTGAACACGTGAGGCAGAGCACATAACTGCAGTACCCTAATTCTCAATGTGTACCATCCCATTTCATCTGTCACTTGGACATSCTGGAAATGACAAAGTAAAATTACTGTGTGTATGAGGAGAGAAAGAGAAGTGGGTTTTAGAGAAGAAAAGGAGAATTTGTTGGTTTGYTTTTTTTGCCCCAATGAAGGGTTATGCTTTTCACCATGGTGCTATAGAGAGAAAAGAGTATGTCAGCCTTACTGTGAGTGAAGTTTTATATACAGAGTTTTTGTATCAGCAGGGGAAGATGAATGGAATTCTGGCATCTGGTGGTAGAGGTGTGTCTTAATATTAAATAATTACATGGTGTGCATATTTAATAGCATTTGTCTTCTTCAAAGTACCTCYAAGCACACACTCGTAAAAGGATTTTGAAATATTTAAACAATGAAGAAAGCCTTGGATGGATTGCACACTCCTTATCAGAGGTCAAGGCACATCGACTATCTAAAGATTATTGTTTTATCCTAGTTTATTATCTTATGAATTAAAAATTAATAGCACCAACTTCTTAAATTATTGCAGTAGTTGGTAAAATGTCTCCCTGCAAAAACTGGATGTTTTCAAGACAATTTATTCCTTCAGTCTCTCTTGTATTATTTTAGCAATGGAAATGCATTCTGTGGTGTGAAGAAGAAAAACAAAATTGGATTCCGTTAAACTGTTGAGTATGAAATGTTCCTGCTAACTATAAATACTGAAAAAACAAAAATATTTTGGAAGTGTCTGACAAAGACAACTTAAAACATTAGCCTAGAAAAACGAGGTTTTGATAAAACTGAATCCAATGCCGTATTATTTGTGTTGTCTGAGTAAAATCTGCATTATTGGAAGGCATGTTATCTGTCTTCCAAGGTGAAATTAAACTGACTCCATATGAATTTTTGCAGTTCTTCACTTACGTGCAATAGAAACACGTAACATAATTGATTTTTTTTGTTTTATTTTAGGATAAACCAGAAACATGGGAAAAACAATGGAAGTGTTTCAAAACCCTGCTCTTCAATCACTTCTTCATTCAGCTTCCCCTGATTTGTGGTACCTATTACTTCACAGAGTATTTTAACATCCCGTATGGGTGGGAAGAGATGCCGAGATGGTGCGTAGATTTTTCTGATATGGTGATGCTGAGTTAAATACAGTTGAACGCAGGATATTTAACAATTAGTGTCATCAGCTCTAATAGAAAATATTTTTGCAATGTGAATTGCATTTGTTAATCATCCTTCAGTTGATGCTTAACTGCTATAAGAGCTAATTAGAATTTTCTAAATTTTTTTTAAGGGCCCGAAGCTGTTCTAATCCTCAGGAGAGAAGGGGGATTAGGAGGGAGTTTATGGAAGCAAAGCAAGATTGCTGGTGGGGTGGGTTAAATGTTGGATTTTCTGGGGGTTTTATTTATCCACATTTTTTTATTCCTCCTAAGTGTCTCTACCCTCCCCCTTTTATTGTATCAGAGCAGWAGTGTGTTCCTCGAAGGAGAGGAGAGAATGAGAGGCTTAACATGCCTCTTTTCTTGCGCTGAACTGATAGATTTTTAAACAAAGTTGGATTAGCTATAGGTGCCTCCTTCTTCCCCAGCACCAACAGCAGTTCTTTACCACAGTAGGTCATCTTTCTTGGAGAGCTGATTGCTCTCTCCTGTAGATAGCTGATCTAGCTCTATTTCGTATCTTCCCACACAGTCTGTGGTTGTTCTCTGTAGACTGTATTTGTAATATTGAAATGACATCTTGTTACATTGTGTCCTAACTCACTTCAACACATCAACAGATGAGCTGATAAGCACAGTTTACCTGGTAATTAATATTTTTAGCAAGCTAAAAAATGTAATGCCAGTGCATTGCTATTCAGTCAGTACTACTTTTAAACATTTCTGACCTGTTATTAGCATATAATCTATTTTCTCTTTCAGGATTATGCGTCTGCTAGTATTTTGTGTAACTAATGGATCTTCTGCTTTTTAAAGGTATGTTCTGGTTGCC